TGCTGTTCGATAATACCTTTCATGATTTGGTTTCGGCTGGTATAAAGATGGACAAGCGGCTGGTAGTGTTTTATTTGCTACATCGATGCCGTGTTCGTAAAGCTAGCTAGTAACAGTGTTCGAAACGCTATCGGACGAACAGTGTACTTTAGATTTTGTTCGAGCTTGGTCGCTCAACGAGAGTGTAAAACGAGCGAATAGTGATGAAGTAGTTATTCGGTTATTCGGAAAGAGAAGAAGAACAAGAACAAATTCAAGTGCCTATTGTGGAAAAATTGGACACAAACGCGCGGAGTGTCCATATCAGAACGAAGAGGTGCCAAGAGGCACGAAGAAAAGTGTACGCCAAGAGTTAAGTCACTCTGCCACTTTGTGCTAACACCCACAGAAACACAATTCAAACACCCATGATAAGCAAATGTTTTAATCAATTCTGGCACCACTGCAAAGAATGTTTACATTCGATTCGAGACAAAACTGTCGTACCGTCCTGTCGGTAAAGAGAAACATTCTGGATCTGGAAAACCTCCAATCCGAAAAAAAAAATACGAACCCGGTTAGGATCCACGAAAGCAGCATAAGGAGGAACAGTTGCTAAAAAATATGAATATGTCCTGCAAAAAACCAAGACATACCAGGAGACATACTGAACGGAATAGTTTCTAATTGTCAATTCTATTTAGGTTCTAACCAGCAGCAGCCCAAGCACGGCCCCACAAATTGATTGCAAATTTTGCCCTTAGAGTTGAAACTATTGCCATCGACTGGATTCTACCGCGGGTTGGATTGCACCCATTGTTTGATCTTTCTTCCCGGATGGCACGTGCCCATTCGTCTTCTTCCTGCAGCGAGAGGGACAATGCCCGTGATATAGCTGGCAATCCTTTTCAGAAAACACTCCAAAAGTCCATCGGCTGCGGTCGAATTAGCTCCAAAAAATCCTCCCGCTGGCTGGTTGTGCTTTTTCATTAAAGAGCATCAGTGGAGTTGGAGGGGAATCTGTCATTTTCAGCGTTATATTATTGTCCATTCTATATGCGCAAGTATTGATGGTTTAAAAGTGAGGATGACAACACAAACCAATCTTTTAGGCTGGAGCGAAAGTGAGGATAACAAACTTCGCACTTGAAAATGAGATTACTCAAGTGTGCGTGATTTAAACGTCAGGAAGGTCAATGGTCGAGGATATGGTTGCCAATAAATTTATTTTTTCGGTTGATGCAGAAACACCTTCCGACACCCAACAACACCATGAAGGTGGTAGAGTGACTTACCCCCGGTGTACGCAAAGGAAAGGCACACATCAGTGGGAAAGAGGTTGTATTAGTGAGTCAGTCGATCAACGAAAAAGCAAACAACTCGCGGAAAAGTGACGTTTCCTGGATTCTCGATTCCGGTGCCTCTGATCATATGGTTGGAACGATTGATTGGTTGCGTGACGTTAAGAAACCAGACAAACCAGTGATGATCAAAGTGGCTTCTGGTCAGACACTCTAGAGCAACCACTCCGGTGTAGTGGACATTGTGTCGAAGATTGGAAGCAGAAGATTGAACAGTGTTGTCAGTGAAGCTCTTTACGTCCCCGGACTGCGGTACAATCTGTTTTCGATCCAACGCGTTGGACAGTTGGGGATGGAAGTGGTTTTCGAAAAAAAAGTGCCGAGATTCTGCGAAATTTTCACGGGAAAACGAAATGACAAACTGTACGAAATGAACGTGGATGTGCCGCGAGTGAAAGAGCCGGCTGCTCTAGTGTCTCAAAACGCCATGAGCAATGAAGAGCTATGGCACAGGCGTTTCGGCTATATCGGCAGAAGTGGACTTATGAAGATGGTGGACAGTGAAATGGTAAAAGGCCTAATGCTGAAGAAAGGTGAATTAGTGGAACGTGTGGTCTGTGAGCCCTGCCTCAAACGGAAGCAGACGAGAAAGCCCTTCTTGCAGATGCCCTTGCCTCGGAGTACCCGTCCTCTAGAGTTGATCCACAGCGATGTGTGCGCCTTCGGCCTTTGAAAGGTATGCTGCTATGGCGGAATCGCACTTCGACAGTCGTATTTCTCGTCTACGATGCGACAATGGAGGTGAATATGTAGGAGCGGCCTTTCGTGACTTCTGCCGAGTAAAGGGTATACAGCTTGAGTACACCGTTCCGTACACACCGCAGCAGAATGGTGTTAGTGAGCTATGATCGAAGATGCTGGATTGTCGAAGGCGCTGTCGTCTGAAGTGGTTCTGACGGCAGTCTACGTGATTAACCGGAGACCAACGGCGGCGTTAACGACTAACAAGACACCGTACGAAATGAGCTTTCAGTTTCGTACCGAAGGAGAAGGAAAAGCTGTCATTTTGTCGGATTCTGTGTAAACGGCTATCGGTTGTGGGATGGTCGTAAGATTTTTATCGCTCGGGACGTTGTCGTGGAGGAGTTGCCGTTGAAGTCAAGTCAAGTAGGGGTGCAGATTCGTGTTTCGAAACCGTGTTGAACTGGCCGGTCCCTCCGGTGGATCCTCGGTTTATCAGTCAGCTGGTTCCTTGGCTGGTCCCTCGTCAGATTCATCGGTTAGTCCGCAAGGTAGTTCCTCAATGGACCCTTCAGCTGGTTCTTCGGCCGGTCCTTTGCCACCATTGTCGACTGCTGTAGAGAAGCCATCGGATCCTGTTGTTGCTGGAAACGGCGGGTGTATATGAAGAAGAATTCAATGACTGTCAGGAAGAAATGGAGCTGGAAGAGTACGAGCTAGATCCTCTAGCAATTCGTCGAAGTCAGTGTATCCAGAATCCACCGGCCAGGATGAGTGAATATTCGTGCGTCGCCTTTGCGCTCAACGCAGAAAGTTAGGTATGTGAAGAACGTTCCTGAGAGCATCGAAAAGCTGAAATTGCAATCTAACCGGCCGGAATGGGAGGAGGCAATAGACGACGAATTGGCAGACGTGGCAGCTGGTTGACCTGCCGGAAGGTCGGGAGGTCGTTGCCTGTAAATGGGTGTTTCGACTAAAAACGAACCCTGACGGGTCAATCAACAAGATGCAAGCGAGATTGGTGGCCAAGGGTTTAACCCAACGTTATGGCTTCTACCGTTCGAATGGTGATCGCCTTAACTAACCAACAAAACCTTGTTGTCCGCAAAATGGACGTGAAAGCCGCGTTTCTCAACGGGAAGCTAACCAAGGACATATATATGCGCCAGACCAAAGGATTTGAGGATGGGAGTAAGGTGTGTAAACTCAGCAAATCAATTTACGGACTGAAACAGGCATCGAAGGCATGGAACGATAGGTTCAACGAGTTTGCGGCTAGAACTGGTTTTCGGCGTTGCTCTGAGGACCAGTGCTGGTAAATCTCATTGTCATTGAGCAAATTCACACAAGATTTACAGATAATTCGGTTCCTCTATCGTTCCGCCAAATTGAGATGACGAAAATACACTTATCTCTAGGGTAAACGCTCCTATAGTTGCAGTACGTTAGAAGCGTTAGGTTCCTATAGTTGCGTACAGAGTCTCCATACACAACTATAGGAACCTAACGCTTCTAACGTACCGCAACTATAGGAGCGTTTACCCTATCATGAACTCACTGCTTGAAAGATTAAAATTTTCGTCACTTCTCACTCATACAAAAAGTCTATCATGACAAAGCTCTTGTGACAGCCACAGAAGGAATATTTCTCTGTCGCATCCAAAGCTTACAGTGACATAATAAAATTTGTTCAAGCTTTTACTCATCATGAAATATTTCACATCGATGTAAAAGCAGCTCCAAACTCACGCTTAAGTAGAGTTACCCTTTTTTTTTTCTTTAAACAATCAAATAGTTTTACTACTAATATCGTCACAATAATTCTTATCAGCATCATTGCACTTATGCTATATTTTTATAAACTGAGCCGGTAATGTTCTTAAATGGCTTAAATCACCATCGAAAAATGTCAGCATAAAAGCAAAAGCTAACTTGAAGTGCCAAAAGAAAATTGTTATTCACCCACAAATTTACCCGATATAAGTATATTACGATGAGTGTGCAGAATCTGTCACTTGCCAGAGCAAAGCACTGAGCAAAACAAATAATGTCATTGCATTGCAAAACATACAGTATTCCGTGGGAGAGTATTTATTCTTCACAGAATATTGCGAGTGGCGCCTAATTTCGTGTAATGTGTGATCAAGCCAGTTGTTAATAACATTCGGCCTGTCAGGATCATAACAAACGGATTAGTAACATGTAAGATTGTATCAACGTTGCTGGATTATTAACTGTTTTAAAATATTCGTAGATGGAGGTGCAGGACGATCCTAAATGCGGACATATCTTTGTACTTTGGACCAAGCCGTTCCGGATATATTTCAAAGCTTCATCACGGACTGCTACTTTTTTCAATCTACTCTACTTGACGAATCCATATATTTTCATCAATGAGGAAAGTTGCTATCGTCGCTATGGTGGTGATATGGTGCGGAAACAGATCTTTCAAGCAACATTTGAATAACCCCTATGAGAAAACGTAATTAATTACTAAACATCGATTTCTCACGAATCACAGCTAACCTACCTTTTTTGTATAGAAAATACGATTTGAACGTAAACGCGAATATGGGTGATTATTTGCGCCATGCTTGGAATAGTGCCTTGAATGGATTGAAGCCGTTCAACACCCTAGTGGTATACTTGCCTCTTCTTAACATACCCTCTGAAGTTTGCTTTTTTGTATTGTATAAGGAACTTGGTTTTGAAGTAAATATGTTTAACTTGACCTGATAAAAGGTTCTATCAGCAGGGTATCGTACACTTAACTAATTACAGTTACGAAAGCTTATTCAATTAAATGTAGTATTGGCAGATCTTATATATGTGTACAAACTTAAGGCAAACAAATATATTTATTTATTTCACATCCAAAACGTTATTTTATTTCATTACAAGTAGGTGTTGTCAGATTTATCTTATTATTTCATTCCAATTCAATTTAATCCTTTTTATAGTTAGTTGAAATCTGTCTCATTATGAAAAAGATGATGACTCTGCAATAAACGTTTTCCAATCATGGAGTGTTGGTAGCACCTTCTGCAAAATATCCATGTTGAGTTTTATAATAAGGATATCCTCAAGTGTATCGTCGGATAAACCCGCCCTGATGTTAGACAGTACTAGTGCCAGTGCACTAAACGAACGTTCCACGGACACCTGCGTCGATGGGACGGAATGGACAACAGTTGCTACTGCATAAAGTTCCGGATGAGTATGTTTTCGCGCCATCCAGTGCTTCCAAACATCATAAATGTGAGGTTGTCTTGGCTCCACTTCTAATTGCCGAAGTTGCTTTCGAAACGATGTAACGTGTGGTTCTGATTCTGATACACTACACTGAGGCCCTCCAAATAGTTTGGTAATGTAGTCATCCATCACATCGACCGTGTCGGCTTTGGATTTTACAGCAGCTGTAGTTGCTGATGTGCATGGTGACAGGGATTGGATTCTGTTCCCAGTATTGATAATAAAATTCTGAAAATTGAAAGCATAATTTGTCTAAGTGACTTATCTTAGAGGGAGGCGTGGGTATGTTAATTCAGAAAGTGTCTACGTTTAATTTTATTTTTAAATTTGTGTCAACGTCTCACAAACGGTTTATGAGGAATATGGACATCCCTGGACCCTCTTGGAGTATCTGTGTACTTTAGGGACAGCCTATTTTAATATACTATTACCTGTATCGCTTCTTTTTCTGCAGCAGCACCAAAAACAGTAGATCCTGGAAAATTGAATCTTGGATCAAGATATACAGCAGCCTTGAATGCCATATTTTCAAGCAATTTCTTCAGCCTATTTTGAAGCGCTTGAGCCAACGCGATGCTGAGAGGGTTATCCGTTTCACTTTCTACCATCAACGTTGCTTGAAGCCACTGAATGTAGAACTCACTCAATGGAACGTGTTTGTTTTGTAAGTTTTTCGTCAGTTTGTAAACGGGCTTGAACGCAGACAAGTAGTTCTTCATGTAGGTCCAGTCATCATCCGGAAATGCTATGAAGAAAATTTATAGTATATTTCATCATGATTTCATTATAAACATATATCATATATTGCTAGATTGTTATTATGGATTAGATGAGTAGTTAATTGGATTATAATCTATGTTATCATTTTCGTTCGAACTCGTTCCATACAACATGTTTTTTGTATGAAAAATACGGTTTGAACGAGATTAATAATATGGAAGAATATAAACATAAATTGTGGGGAATTGTATGGGGAATAGATTCGAACTCGTGACTTTGGCATGACAGGTATGGATGTTAACCACTACGCCGGGGCTGTCCCCACTCGATACTGACAAAAGTATTTATGAAGCCCTATCAATTATGGGATGTACGTTTACGTACATACTTATGCATACTTATTTTATATGAATAATTTTATGACTTTATGAGTTAATATGAACAAGTACTGTCTGGACGGAGGTATTAAAAATTAGATATCTTACCAACTTCCGGATACTCTTGTCCAAGTAGGATGTAGAACGACTCTTGTTTGAGGATCGATTTTATCATTTTGTATCGTCCACCCCATCGAGTAAAGCTCCATAGGGGGGCTTTGGAAGCTTTGTTGTGGTCGAAAAAGATTGAGTACTTTGTTTTCCTGGTGTCTTTAACGATGTCTGTGATTTTTCTTATTTTTGGGTCATTCTTCGTGATCACATCCGTAATGGCCAATTGTAGAGTATGTACACTACATCTAATGAGATTAAGTGCACTTCCGAATTCACTGGTGATTCCATCGATCATACCACACTCCAGTTCTTCCGCGCCCTCTTCGTCCATGAGAGATTCCAGTGGAGCAACAGAGGTAGCGGCTAGTTTTTGCATTTCTTTTATCGCCGCAACCATATTGGCACCGTTGTCAGTTGTCGCCGAGAAAACTTGGTTTACTTCGATTCCATATGAATGCAGGATTTCGACTATTTTGTCCTTTAGAAATTTAGCAGTCTGGGATTGTTTAACTTCCATCATAGCTGAAATAAATGGAGTATATTAATATTTTGAGTGAATATTGCAAAGATTTATCTTTTTTTTTTTTACCTAGGGTCCTTATAACGATTTCCCCGTCTAGTTCATATTGGACGTTGAGACCGATGATGTGACGTCCATGCCTAGAAGCTGAATCTATCTTGATGGATACAAGCTTACCCTCCATCTCATTCCTGATGAATGCCCGGATTTTCTGAGCCGTTTCGCGGACGTGAATTTTGATGTTCCTTCGATTTACATGGCAGCTCAGTGTTTCCATAATGGGATCCAAAAGCATTTTGAACCCATCCCACTCAAAGCAGTTGAATGGGAGGTGGTGCTGAGTCACCAATTTCAGACATGCTTCGTATAAAAGCCGTTTGTCAATCGGGAAACTTTGTTTTGTTACCAATCGTGGCTTTTTTGCAGGAGATTCTGTTTCTTTGAGCAAATTTTTGCTGATTGCTGCCTTTGGATGCTGAGTTCTGAAATGACGAATGAAATTTCCAACATCGTATTTCTCCTGGACGTAAGAACATCCGCTTGTGGGCTCAATTGCACAAATTGTTTTTCCACCTTCTTTTCTAACGCACTCTTCGGCAACAGCAGTATACGTTAGTTTTTTCTTTTCTGTTTGATTTTCCGCCATTGTAGATGGGTTCGGATCAGGATTAGAACTCAAATAATTGCAACAAAATCTGGTACACGAGTAACTTACAGTTTTGCAATTATCGCACGGATTTAAAGCGCTCCATATGAAAAAGGCGTGACTGCTAACATGTTATATGCATAAAGTAGATTGATAATCCAAAGACTGCTGTTTGTTGAAGTAACAACTTTTACACGATGCATTTTTGAAAATAGTCACAGCTGCACCTCATTAGCGGATGTCAAAGGCAGAATAAAATAAATTGCAAAGAGATCGAAATCTAAACAATGCAAATTAAATCTGAATTAATGTTTTTGAAACATGCCATTTTCAGGATACAGTAAAGCACTTTAGTAAAAGTGTGGACGTCTGCCAAAAAGTTTTCCAATCGCAGTGCATTTTGACGGTTTGATTGGAACACATTTTGACAGACGTCCACACTTTTACTTAGAAGACTTTAGTTTGTGTATGTGATAGCTTATGAGAGAATGAAAATTTCACAAATCTCATTCTATCTCACCTCCTCACTGTGACACACGAGGTATTGTCAATCATTGAAGGAAGAATGAGAGATTTTTTTTCATCACCATCATGACGAAGGGACTGCGTGATATAATCATTCAACTTGATAAGTAACGAGAAGAGAATTTGTGATCCTTCATTAGGTTGTAAGAATTTGATATCCGCAATATTGTCATTTTCAAATGATGGACATGAGATTTACCAGCACTGCTGAGGACAGTTGTTTGTATGTGAGGGGTTGCAAGTTTGGTCCGGTTTATCTCCTCCTCTACGTAGATGATGTGCTCATTATCTGCAAGGATTTTATCCAAGTGCAGATTGTGATGGTGGATCTGGGCGAAGCGTAAATTTTCTTGGGGATCAGGATCGAACGAGATGCAAGTAAGGGCATCATGAAGCTTAGCCAACCAGGCTATACTGAAGCAGTTCTCCGTCGCTTCGGAATGGAATCGTGCAAGCCGGCGTCTAACGGCGCCGGTGGTGTAGTGGTAAGCGTGATTACCTCTCACCCCAGAGGCCTGGGTTCAATCCCAGTCGGTGCCGCCGGGATGTTCTGAGGCATAACATCTCTGATCACGCCTTCCTTCGGATGGGAAGTAAAGCCGTTGGTCCCCGGTTCATGAGTTGATGGGTCGATAGGTAGGGTCCAGGTGTGGGAGCTGCCTTCCTGGCACGTCGGTAGCATTGGTGCTCAGCACGGAAAACAAGATCGAGGGAAAAAACAAACCAAAGGAAAAAAAAAAGCCGGCGTTTACCCCCATGTGTGCTAATTTGCAGCTCCAGAGACCAAATGAAGACCAGAACCTCGATAAGCCGTATCGGGAATTGATAGGCTGCCTGAACTACCTCATGGTCACATCGCGTCCTGGCCTGAGTTCGGCTGTGTTCTATTTCAGTTCAGTTTCAGTGCAACCCGTCACAAGAGCATTGGTCACACCTGAAAAGAATACTTCGGTATCTCAGAGGATCGATGCAGCATGGTTTGATCTACATCTGACAGGAATCAGCTGAGCAGGTAGTTGGTTTCGTAGACGCAAACTGGGCGACAGATCCTGGTGATCTTCACTCTGTTTCTGGGCATGTGTTCCAGATATACGGTTCTACAACATCTTGGAGCACGAAGAAGCAAAGAACGATTGCACTGTCCTCGACCGAATCGAAGTGCAGTGCTTTGACCGACTGTATATGCGAAGCATTGTGGATCCATAAACTTTTCGAGGAGCTGGGATTGCGTGACAAGCAGGCTGTTGTCATATTTGAAGACAATCAGTCAGCGATTGCAATTGCTGAATCGGAGGCGCCATCTAGGAAGTTGAAGCATACAGATGTGAAGTTGCAGTTTATTAAGGAATGCGTCGAGAAGAAACAGGTTAACATACAATTTAAGCCCAGCAGTGATCAACCAGCGGATCGCTTGACCAAAGGTCTTCCACCAGTCACATTTAAGAAATATTGTTTGACCTTGAGAATTCAGCAGTGATTAGCTTGAGAAGGGGTGTTGAGATCAATCTTATCACTTTACATTTAGAGTACATTTCATAGCGAGTACACCTACTGTGTATTTGTACATTTGGTAAATTATAAGTATAAGTGCAAGTAATCCTTTGAATTTACCCAAAATTATGCACTAACACTTATGCATTTCACAAACGTCAGAGAAGCCTATATTAGTGCAGAACTTTGGGTAAATTCAAAGGTTTACTTGCACTAATACTTATAATATACTCAAAGCTCTGCACTAATACTTGTGCATTTCAGAAACGTCAGAGAAGTCTGTATCGAAATGTTGCCGAAAATAAGTGATCTTAACATAACAATTTGTTACGAGTAATTCTAGGGCATGCATCCAAGCGTTCCTTTTGTGTTCTCTTCAGAGTTCACCTAGCAATGCTCCCAAAAACTCCTTCAGAATCCTACAAAGAGTTATCCTAGAATTTTGCATAATATGTATATATTACCAATTCTCATCTCAATGCGCTTGGAAATCTATTTTTAACAAACTTAGGATTCCTACCTTACAATTCAAAATTAAGGAACCTCCGGAGCTTGACAAGTTTTAACGATTTGTAAACTTCCATGAAAAGTGATCAATTTTCGCCCAGACCACACAGCCCCGGGGAAAATATCTAAGTCGCCTCAATTAATACTCGTACACAATCGTTATACCCGCGATCTAATTACAGGCCTAATATTCTTGCAACACATCATTCAAAAATCTCCATGTTCGATTGTTCCAAACCAAACACGACCCGCGAAGTACGGATTTTCACACGAACCCGCGAAACATAACTTGAATTTCTTGGCCTGTTGTAGCTACCTGTCTCGCAATAGAATGGGATCATTAAAACCTAAACTTACAAGAAAACGCGAACCCGCACCAAACTCTCCCATGGCATTCTTTGATGCACACCCAACCCGCATCGCCTAATCCGCCAAACGCAGAGTGCACTGCGCGCGGATGGTAATTTTCGCTGCCATGGCTACCACTGGAACATCGAGCCCAACGCCTACTTATGCGTTGTTCCGGGCGAGAGATCCCGTCGAAAACAAATAATAATAAAAAAAAACACCTGAACGAATTGCGAAGAAGACCCACTCCGTCCGGAAGCGACGAACCGTGTTACGCGCCGCGCACGCATCATCTTTTTTCCCATCCCCAATCCCCAATGAAAGTAACGGGATCGTCGCGATTTTTTCCGCTCCCCACCTGCAACTGCAGAAGCCCTGGGATGAATTGTGGGCTTTGGATTCGTTTGTTCCACTTTGAGTCAGTTCCCAAAGCGGAGCAGAAGTGAGCTGAATTTTTTTTTCAATCTCCCCAGCCGCCACACTCCAATCCCAACTGGGCCCTCGGCGGACGGTGGTTCTTAGTGGCCAGCAGCGAAAAACAACTTCTTTTCCTTTCGCCGGAGCGCTGGCCTGCCAGAATTGATTAATTGTATAATATAATGAGGCTGTGTTTGTTCTGATGCGCTTGGCTGGAGTTTTCCCTTCAAAGTTGATGAGGGGTTTTTTTTTTGTTTTAAGATTTACGCAACTTTTTTTTTTTTGCTCCGCCATTATGCGCGCAGAAACATCATTCTGCGGTGGTTGTTATAATTCTATTTCGGAGCTAGCGCGACTTTACAAGCACTTGATGAGGTGCAACTATAGAGTGCAGAGGAATTGATTCCCACAATCAACGATGAGTGAGAGGTTCATGGAACTCGCTCATAAGGGAATTGCCGCATCAATCTACGCACTGCTACAGCTGTCAAATAGCCCACGAATTATTTTGTTATGTTGAAATGCATAATTAACTACCAATGTTGAATCCTGGATGAATATGGGCGTCTATAGTGGAATACCCATTTAAAGGCTGACTAAAAGTAAATTGGTACGCACAAAAATACCTATTATTTGTGATTCAATATGTTTAAAAAGTCAATTGATGGTTGCTTTACAGTTCTCTTATTAAACCTTTAAAGTTGCAGCATAAGATGGTTACATTTCTCCAGTTCGAACGAAATCTCGAACCTTCCTTTTGACGGAGCCCATCAGCGCCCGCACAGTGCAAACGGACACGGAATCAGCGCATTTCTTACATTTTGCCCGCATTTGCTGGATGTCCTTAACTGCTCCGCCGCTTCGTCGACGTCGCTGTTTTGAAATTGCCCAGTATTTTTCGATTGGTCGAAATTCCGGGCAATTCGGAGGATTCATTAGCTTGGGGACAAAGTCGATCTTGTTGGCAGCATACCACTCCAGAACCACCTTGTAGTAGTGGCAGCTGGCCAAATCGGGCCAAAAATGACTTTACCCCTATGCTTGCAGATTTTTCAAGCATTCTTCG